GGTCCAAAGGTGTCTCCAGTCTATACATATAATGCCCTCTATCTGCAACTGGAAAACTTTCAGCAACCATGAATGGGGAGTCCTGGGTTAGAGAGTGGTAGGAGACAACCTTCTCTCCCTCCTAACCTGCCCCACAGAGCTGTTGGAGAGGGTAGGGTTGCTCTGTTGGAGAATTGTGATGTATGCGGGTTTTAGAATAACTACTTTACACATTGAAAAGAGATACCAGAAGTTCACATTAAAGGAGATCATGAAAATTCTTTTATTTCACCATTCATGTGCATAGCACTTCACGGAGTACAAGAGTGTAGGGTTCTTGTCCTGACAACTTACAGTCGAAAGAAGGTCATTGTGTGGCAAAGTCTTTGAGCAGGCAAAACTGAAGCTGACCTGCAACAAGAAGTTGTGGTTTGGAGTGTTGCTGTTTCAGGGTTCCAGGTCGCTCCACTCTCCCTTCTTCCATTTGCCCTCTCACACCCCATCCAAACCGACGATCAGCCACTATTTCATCACTGCTGAGCATGCTCAGTTTGTCCCCTCTCCATTGAGCCCCCACCCCGCAGTGTGTTTTTTGTACTTTGGCAAAACTTGAGGTTTTCCCAAGCTTGCTGATTCTTCATTCTTTTGTGTGTGGCTCTATCTTAGCCACATTAACAATAGCACCAGAACCTTGACACCCAAAAGAGAAGGAACAATGATCTAATTTGCGCATTTGGAGAAATAGTTTAAAATGATTTCTCATGTAGTGCAGTTGTCAAGTGTGAATATTTAAACGTCTAAGTGTTCTTTAATTTTTTAAAAAAGTGTTAAATGTGTTTAAAAAGTTAAAGAATGCTTTTTAAACAAAATTAAAACCTCCTTTAAAACGGCATACAGAAAGAAATTTAACACTATCCTCAACTTTTGAATTACTTTGTAGCACCTTTTTGTGAGTGGGGTCTTTATAACTCCAAATTTAGGCAGAATGTAATATCTACGGGACAACTGAATGCTTGCATTGGACCTTGTGAACAAATTTTCTGAGTAGTTAAAACTTAATGATGTTTTGGAACCTTTGTGTGTAGGGCACGGCTTTTGTTGAATTACTTGGCAAGTGAAGTCCTGGCAGACATCCTAGCCTGAGAAAGAGAGTAAGTCTTCTCTTGGAACTGCTGCCGTAAGTGTTTGCCATAAAACAAATGGGATCTTCAAACTGCCACTTACTTTGAATTACAAAACAATTAAACATGCATAGCATTGACTATCAGCCAGCATTGCTTCCTTTATCAGCAAGAAGTTTCTGCACTAGATAGTAATTCTGGTCCTCCTGCCCAAATCAGCTTCCTCATGCTGCATTCTCCCTTTATGTAACATAGACATGTTGAAAGGATCGGGTACATTCTTGCCCTACAGAAAATCTCAAATTCAATCCATGGCATCTCTAGTGAAACTGACCAGGCAGCAAGTGATGGAAAAGGCAACTGTCACTCAGCTGGAATTTTGCAGGAGAATGCTTGCACACACTGGTTGCCATGTGGAGGGTGGGAGAATTTTCCCATTCATAAAATGGCTGTCCCAGCCAGTCACAAAGCAGCCATTTCAGAGGGCAGACTGTTGAAATTAAAAGTAACTTGCCCAAGTTTTTACTGCAAGATTGATATGGGGGCTGAGATCCACAATGCAAAAATACTTTTTTGAACTAAAATAATGTTTGCAATAGCCCATCCTGTAAGTAAGTGGTTTTTAAACAATCTTAAATAAAAATCAGGAGGGCCAGGAAGCCTGGCAGGTGCAAAGACAGGTATTTGTGGGTAAGTTAATGCCTTTAGACATTATGCTAAGAGACCTCAGGAGTAAACAGTTCTGGTCTAAGGCCCACCAAACATGGGGAGGGGAGACTTCTGAGTAAACATGCATAAGATCATACTGTTAAGATTCCCTTGTCACAGACTGAGTGCTTTGGAGCAGGGAAGGGTAGAAGTCACCTAAGGGTGCAGCAGAACAGGGAGCGATAGAATGCTATATCCAGAAGTGCATATGCCCTGCTAGATATAGGAGGAGAAAGGAGATAAAAGGCAGCTGACTTAAGCAATACTATCCCAGTTTTAGCTCCGAGACTGCAATAACCTCACCAGAGGGAACATTTTCCTATTTTGCTCAGTTCTAATCATAACAATATTTAGCATGTATACAGCATTTTAGAGATTTTACATGCTTTGAATTCTCTGTTAGAGTGATGTGAATGTAGTTGTACAAATATTTGATTTTCCACAACCACATTTTGTACTCTGTTCACTCTTCCTGGGTGTTCCCCCAGTGTGAACCTTCCAGATGTGAGCTACAATTCCCATCATCCCCAGAGAGGGGTGGTGGCAGCTTAGCACATACATCTGGAGGGCATTCTGGTTGGGATGCCTAGACTACAGAAATGCAGTGGAACAGCTGAAGTTCCAAGCTGAAGTAAGTTCTGATTTGTAGTTAGAAATAGGAAAGAGACAGGCAGGCTTCTGAGACCTATAGCTACAGAGGCAGTAAGAAAAAAATAATCTTTTAGAAAGAAGAAAGAAAATTAATACAGACTTCTAAATAGCCACTGGGCTTTTCATATGGTAGGCATTGCTTCTTCAAGACCAGTTGAAGAAGCTTTTCAAAAACTGAGTTTGTTTTTGTTTTCTTAGATTAGGCCACAAATGAGTAACACAGGTATTTTATTTGCTAATAACTCTTGAAGATGCATTTACACGGCTGTCTGAATGAGAGCTCCCAGCTTCTGATTAGCACTTCAGTAAAAATCAGTGGGTACATGTCTTTTATGTTTAGATCTGCTCCAAATGCTGATTGCATTTGAAGTCATTCCTCTTAACAATCTCTATCAATGTCCAGATTCTTAGGTTGATGAACATGAAGATTATTACGAATGATGGCTTCTTCGTACAGTGATTGATGGTTTTTGTGTACTCGACTGTAACCTTTTTTTTAATTTTTGAAATAGCTCATTTTTCCTTATTCTCAAAAAAGGCGTCTAAGGTTAGGTTATGGTGATATTGAAACATATTTAAATATACCTAGTTGCTTGCTCCATTGAAAGCTCCGTCCTATGCATATTTAGATAGAAAAAGGGCTTTGCAATTTCCAACATTCCCTGGACAGCAATACTGGGAGTTGTTCAATATTTTCAGTCCAAACATGCATTGGATTGTCCTCTAAAAGTGAAATGATTGACAGGTGTGTTGGACTGGATACCATTAATTAAAATGTAATGGAAAGTCAGAGTGGCATAATAGTTAGAGTGTTGGAAACGGGCTCGGGAGAGCCAGGTTCAAGTCCCTGCTTGGCCATGAAATGCACTGGGTCTCTTTGGGCCACTCACTATCTCAAGCTAACCTACCTCACAGGGTTGTTGTAAGGATAAAATTGAGAAGGGGGACCATGTAAACCAACTTGGGTTCCTTGAAAGAAGAAAAAGGGGGAGAAAAGCAGTGCAGGGTCATAAGTAAATCATCTGCTATAAAAATAGGATTGTGTGTTGTAGGAATAATACTTGTAGATGAGCAGCATAGCTCCATAAAGGGCTCCCAAATACCCCAGCCTCCATTTGTAGCCAGTGCATGGTTGCCCTTTATATGTGATAAATACAAAGAAGACGTCTCCCAAAAAAAGAAAACTATGAGAAAAATCAGTGGGACCTGCAGCAAGTGAATGAAGTTAGTACTACTGCTGTCAGGATAACACAGAGCAATGGGTGTATCATGAAATAAATTTTATTGTCTTAACTTAATTTTAATTCTGCTCAATTGAATCTTTTTTGTAGTTACAGACTTTTATAAGATTACAAGAGATATTCAAGTGGCCAAAGGATTATTTCCAGCTGCCTTCCAACAAGAAAAATTCTTTAGGTGGTTTTAATAAAGTAGTGAAATGGAATATAATCTGGAGATTCATCATCTCAGAATAATGAATCAGGTTGCTTGACTTGGCCTATGATGTTCTTCCTGTTAGGCTTTTCAGTAGTTGTGTAGGAGCTGCTTTTTTAAAGCTTCTTGATCCCAGTCAGGAGACACTTGCATGACAGGACTGGCAGAATTGACTCTTTGCCCTTGTACAGAAGTGTCGCAAACCTGTGCAAGAGTGATTTGCCTGCCATGGCCTCGTATATAGAGGACACTGCCACACGTGTAGCTCTGCTATCCAGGTTATGGAAGCCAGACTAAATGTTCTTGCATTGCCTCTAGACCGGGTTGGTGGTCAGATTTGTGCTAAGCTTTAACAGAAGGGAGTTCTTCAGTAACGGGAAACTATGTATCTTAGGGGGCTGCACACAGACTTTTCAGCCTAAGGGCCAAAATCTATTTTGAAGAAGTATACAGATGCCATCCCAGTGATGGGTGGGGGTTAAAGTAAAGGAGCCGGAACAAAAATACCTGCTTGTAAACTCTTACTGCCAGTATTAAAGCCTAAGAAGAAACACTTTGACTTTTTAGAATGGGGAGCAAATAGCGCAGAAGCTCTGAAACCCTCAAATAGAAACAGAGCGAGTCAGAAGGGGTCTCCCGGGCCATCTAGTCTGACCCCCTGCTCCAGCTGGTTCTGCTCATGACATACCTACCATGTGCATGTCCATGATCATTGGTTGTGGGGAAAGGGGGTAGAGCCATGAGAAAGAGGCCTGACCCATCGGAGAACCCCATAGGGCTGGGACCCTAGGCTCAGGTTCTGCACCTCTGACTTTAAAGTACAGATAGTCTTTACTGGGCACAGGCTGCTGGATAGCATAGAAATTTAATACATAGATACCAACCTATAGGTGGAGCTAGCATAAAGTAGTGGGAATGGGAAGAATGCATGGTGTAGCTGACTGTGCTGCAATTGCAGGGGTTTGGACCTAATGGCCTTTTGGCCCCTTCCAGCTCTTCTACTCTATGATTTCCCGCTGCTTTGATTCTGATGAACAGGCAAGTTGTAAGCAAGTAACAAGCCAACAGGTTCATTTTGCCATTTCATTTTCTTGCTTTTCCTTTCAGTATGCCACCACAGGCTGCTCCCTGACACTTCATCATACAGAAAAGCCAGACCACGAAGATGTTTGTGAGTACCGCCCATACTCCTGCCCATGTCCTGGTGCCTCTTGCAAATGGCAGGGCTCATTGGAAGCTGTCATGTCGCACCTCATGCACGCTCACAAGAGCATCACAACTCTTCAAGGAGAAGACATTGTCTTCCTCGCCACGGATATTAACTTGCCTGGGGCAGTTGACTGGGTGATGATGCAGTCCTGCTTCGGCCATCACTTCATGCTGGTGTTAGAAAAACAGGAGAAGTACGAGGGTCATCAACAGTTCTTCGCCATCGTCTTGCTGATTGGCACCCGCAAGCAAGCAGAAAACTTTGCATACAGACTTGAACTGAACGGCAACCGGCGGAGGCTGACTTGGGAGGCTACCCCGCGGTCCATCCATGATGGTGTGGCAGCAGCCATCATGAACAGTGACTGTCTTGTTTTCGACACTGCCATTGCACACCTTTTTGCAGACAATGGAAACCTTGGAATCAATGTGACTATTTCTACATGTTGTCCGTGATGTTTCTGTGTAACTAGTGAGACCACATGCTTGTCTGGACATAGTGCTTTTATGTTTTACTGGATTATTTATTTTAAAACATGGTATTCTACCATAACCCCGTCTGCTTGTTTCCTCTCACACAGTGTACCATCACATGAGGGACAACAGGGTTGTGTCTACTGGTGCCCTTTTGGTGGCACATCTGTAGAAGGGAATCCACCTTACGCATGTAGGTGCCCTCCTTGACACGTAACCCTGCGTGATTGCTAATTGTGTGAGGAGGGACACCCTGACAGGACTTAAGCCTTCATAAGTAATACAATTTTTACTTAGCCTACCATTTTGTAATTCTCTCCCCCCACCCCCACCTGCTGACCTTCTTGGGAATTTTAAAACCATGGTTAACAGGACAGCTAAAGAAAGGCAGGATGAGTTAGTCCTGTTGATCTGAAAAGAAGGGAAGAGTTATATTTTGAAAACATGCCATTAGAGGGGGAACAATTCTGTTTTCTTGGAAAGCAAAAGTTTATTAGAAATACAGATTTGGAAAAGTAGGGGATGGGGTGTACAACAGAGATAGACCTCTTGTGCTAAAAGAGGCAGCTTACACATTCGGAAGAATGAGGTGGCAAAGTCCTTTGGTGTTAAAATGGACTGTACTGCTTATGATTATCTCTGTATAAGTGAAAACATAGTACATCAGATGGAGAGGTTCTAGCTTGTGTCCTTCCTGCTGCAGTAGTCTTTTTATGGTTTTTTTGTTTTAATGTGAGGGAACTTGGAAAAAATAATCATTTACTAAAAGCAGTTCACTCCATTTCTACTACCTCAGAACTCTCCTAGCTCATTCTGTGGCGTTGATAGGCAAACTGCTTAAAACGCTTCTAAGGTGAAAAGGGTGCTTGGTAATCTCTGAGACTGGCCTTGTAACACAACAAAACAAAAAGGAAAATGCAGACCAGAGATTAGAAACTGTCCCATCAAAATTTTGGCCTACAGCTTCCATCAGCCTCAGCTAGAGTGACCATCAGTAAGGGATGATGAACATTTTATTGGCCAAAAGACCTGGAAGGCCACAGGTTGCCCACCTGATGCAGAGTATTGGACTGGGGACGGATTTGCTTTATTTCTTTTTAGATGTTTGAGGACTTTGAAAAGTTAACTATTACATAGTTTCACAGCAAAAGAAAGAAGGTATTTTGTCGACTTGTTGCTCTTGCTGTGGTTTTATTGAATACAGAGAATTGCCCTTCGATAGAAGAGAGTTCTGTATAATTGCAAAAATTCTGACCCTCTTGAATATCCATTTATTTCAGCAAGAGCTGAGAAGCTCCACATTTTGCTCAGTTTGCTGCTTAGGTTACAGGATGGCAAAAACCACAATGTGTTTGAACAGTTAAAAGTAGGCCCCATCTATAAATACATCTGGGTTGTTTACATGTGGCTTCCCCTTTCGGAAGACATACTTAACATACTTGATATTAACATTGTAACGACTGACTTAGAATAACATGAGGAAAAGCGATATGGTGGTTGTCTTGTCTTCTGCTATTTAAGTTTTTTTGTTGTTGTTGCCACATTTACTCTAGTTTTCTAAATAAATATTTTGCAAAAATACCCTATGTGGCTTTTTCAGCTGACTAGAATAACAACTGCATGCCAGGTAACATAACTGCTTCCCAAAGATACATGAATGCACATCCTTTTGCATTCATAAGAGTCTGAATTAAGGGTGGGGAATGGATGGCTCTCCAGATGTTGCTAAACTACAGGTCCCATCAACCTTAGCCAACATAGCCATTTGAGAAGGGTAAGGAGAGTTGCAGTCCAGCATGTTCTCCATCCTTGGCCTAGGTTCTGCTAGGCTAAGCATCCGTGATAACTCCAGTTTAGGGGAAAAAAATCTCCCCTCAACTTTAGAAATCTGCTTCCAAAGTAGGCAATACTGGTCTATGTAGGCTACTGCTCTGCCTCTGTATAAGGTCCTCTTCATTTATTCACTGTCTCCCTGCCTTAGAAGGCACATCAGCAGCCTTGCTGGGCTTGTTCCATTGCTCTGTCCCAGCAGTTATTCTGAACAGCGTGTGATGTGAGGGCAGCACGACCTTGTTCAGGCTCCTATGGCTGCCTGGCAATTCTCTCCCTCCCTTCAGCATTGAATGCATTTCCTCAGGTGGCCATTAAGAGCTGATAGAGCAAAAGCACAATCCTGTGACCACTAGGCAGCATTGAGATAGCCATAGGATTTTTTCAGTCCTAGGTCCAGCCTTGGCAAGTTGCTCCAAGGCTGGAGTTAATACTCAGCTCAAGATCATGTTAACCATAGAGAGAACTGGGCTGACTGTTTTCTAAGGTTACAAATGCAAACTCAGAGAAAAGGTTTTGTGGGTGGGAAAGGGAGAAAAATGGTGCCATCATGATATGTAGCATTCCGGGCAGCATCTCAGCCTCCTTCCCTCCCAGTCCAGAGTGCCACAGTTGGAACAGTCAGATGGTTGCAGGGCAAAAAACACAGAGGCAACCTGCGCTTCCTCTTTCCTCCTGCCTGGAATAGGAGGCTATTAATTATCTGGATTCTGAATGTTACGGGTATCATTTGGGTTGCACCCTAAGAGACTGACCTACAAATCAATTAAGGTCCCTGGTTAGAATCTTGTCTATGCTAGGAACTCAACAGGTGGGCATTATGTTGACCACGCTTTCTAATAGCCAAAAATATGCAAAATAATTGTCTGGATTTTATTTTTACTGTTTCTTCTCTTACAATCCTTTGGTGCATATGGTACAGAGGAAGGACTTCCAGATGTTCACACTAATAGGCCTCACACTATTAGAAAGTACAAAAGCAAGGTGATGCGAGATTTCTTTAACTGCCACTGGTTTACTTGTAATTGTGCATTATTCTTATTGATCATAACTTGGGCACCTTCTTGGCCTAAGAACTCCCAAAGCATGCAGAGACAAGTTCTGAACAGCTTCGTTTGTCACATTTTCCACTGTATTTCCATTTCTAATGCAATTTAAAATTTGTCCTCAAAGATTTCTTCTTACAATCTTATCACTGAAGAAAATGTTATTTTTTAAAGCAAAGTGTCTCCTGTTCTCATTGTCTTATTTTCTGTGATAGCCTGGTGGTCTGTTTTTCCCTCTTGCCTACCCATGTTACTGACTCATTTTCCTCCATGAATTTTGCATTTGCAATTTTAGTTATTGCTAATTGCACACCAACACCAACTATCAGTGTTGAAAGTCCTTGGGCAAACAGCTGACTTTTGACATTTTAATGACTTTGTACAGAACTCCCAGACTCATTACCAGCACAGTGTCAACATGCTTGTTATCCCTTACATTTAAAAAAAAATACTGTGTGCCTATACCATTCATACAAAGGAAGCCCTGTGATTTTCTACCCAGGTTGGTGATCAATAATTACTTTAATACAATAGTAATTACAAATTAATTACAGTAAAACTTATTTGAATGTATGCATATCCAGCTCTTAAAAGGGTTTCTCTGTGATTGCCAACCCCAACAACTGATCAAACATTCCTATTTAGCTTCATCAATACTAGTGAATAAGCCTTAATGTTTCCAGGCTTTAAGCATGCTTTCTGTGCTATGAAAAAAATAACAGTACTTATTGCCCCATTAATGTTGTGCCACCTTTTTATTTACTGCTGTCTTTGTTTCTAGTATACAGAATCACACAGCGGAAGCATTACAAGCTTCAGTAATCCATTAAGACAATAGAATCAGGTATGTGATGCTTAATGTAGAAATTAGATTAACGCCTTAAGGAAGTTAACCTGAAACAAATTCTTTTGAGATGGCTATGCCAGTTTAATGCTCTAGGGCAGATTGAAGCTCTTAGAAAGATCTCCTTAGCCTTGCATGACAACAATAAGCATTGCTACTGAGTTTTACCATATTCAGTATATATCCATACTGAATGCTTCAGTAAGAGAATTCCAGGGATTTAATAAAGGTCCCACACAGAACACATCTCCTGTGTTAAGGCTAAACTTCAAATGCGTTCTTCCTAGTGTTTTGGCTTGTAACAGAAGTGAAGAAGGATTATGGAACATTCTTTGTTACCCACAATAAGGTTGCAATCTCTAGGTACAACAGAGTAGAAAACAGGGCTTCCTGGGAGATGTAGAGTACCAACACAGAAACAGGAAGCTAAGTAGTTAGTTTGTGCCTAGGATGAATTCCTGAATGACGCAGTGGCTGTACCTGATTTAGCCTTGATAGAAATTAGCCTTTCTTGGTTCGGAATTTATCCCTTGATATTATAACATGGGAATGTATATAATTTCTGTGGCACAGCTAAAACATGTTTTGTGGTACACAACATGACACAACATTGGTAGAATGGAAACTTTGGGGGCCATTTATCTGGGTGTTAATCCTACAGAAAAGAATGTTAAGGCATGATGTAGCCCTAGCTCTAGTCTCGTTTAGCTGCTTGGGATTTAGTGCACTCATTTATTCTCTTTGTTCTACCGCTTCAAGGTCTTTGCAACTTCCAAACATTCTGACGCACCAGCACTCCACAAACAAGGACCAAATTCAGGCTGTGACTAAAAATATTGGTTTAATCACCTGAAACCAAATCCTGTACTAAATCTGGTCACCTGTAGACCATTTAGCAAGTCACTTTGTGTCTGATTTATATGAGTATAGGCAGCAGGATGTCTATACTTACATATGGATGAGACAGTTTTCAGTTGTGAACTGTTTCAAATTCTTCACAAGATTGAGATTGCAGGGATTAAATGACAGTGTTGTTGCCCAGGAAGGAAAGAAACATTTTAGGGAATGAATTTTAATCATGTGCAAGTGTGCGTGCATGTATGGTAGATTTACTGGATCATGAGTAGTGTGAGACTTTGATTCCTAGAACTCTACCGAGTTGGCACAGGATCCTTTAAATGTTGATACTGTGCCCCTAGAATAGATACTGTACATTCCAAAAATGACCTCACTTGGATATTGAAAGCTAAGTATGCCAAGCACAGCAATGCCTGCAGCTGCTCTTCCCTATCACCTCCCAGGATGGTGTTTGTATTTCTCTGCTGAAGCGCCAGAGGGACAAACATGGAGGTGTCAGTGGGCAAACTTCACCTTTTGACCATACTGATCTTGAGTTCCACATTGGGGGATAGCTAAGTGCAACCTTCGACACGAGAAAAGAATGTCACCACTTCCTCAGCAATGTTTCCAGAACAGAATGGGAACCAGGTGAGCACGGAGAGATGTTGCCGGGTCACACTGAGAGCATGAAATGGGTTCTCTTCAGCAGAAACATCCAGCTTTATAATTCAGGAAATGTCTATTCTTGAAGTGTTTCAGTTTTTACTCCTTAGCTGGTTGTATCCCTGCTCTTTTAAACTCAGTTATTTGCAAATCTTTTAGGCTTACTTGACACATGCGTATACATAACTTGATTTACCATCACTGGTTGACACTTGAGCAAGATGTATGAAGTAATTCCATGTGCAAGCATCATTTCTGAACTCAATAGTATTCACAATGGCATTCATAATGCTATGAACTATATATATTAATAAGTAAAACTAACAGTATAATACTGTGCTTGACTAGTCACAAATAAGTCTTGTTGAGTTCAAGGATGTTATTCCCAGATAGGAAGATACCGGATTGCAATGCAACCTAAGTGAGACTGGATGTTGTTTAGTTTCTAAAAAGTACATGATCATGGCTATAAACAATTCCACGGCACATTTTGTTTTCAGAGTTGCAAAACAAAATATTTCAGAGTTACAAACTATGATGTTTATGTTGACTTTTTAATGCCTTATTTAAAACCCTGGTCAGACTGTATCAAATCTAGAAATCTGGATCAAACTTAAAATTTACATAATATATCTCAATCCTAGTACCATTCAATGGGACCAAAAAATCCACCCCCAAAAGCATGCTCTTAAGAGAATGTGTCAATATGAAGTCATATACAGAGATGCAAAAAAGAAAAAAAAATACATGCAATTTTTCTTCATTTGAATCTAGATACTTTATAAGGTATACACATTTTATGCTGACATATTCCAAAATAGATCTAACAGATGTGCAATCAAGGAACTGGCTAAAAGAAAATGATTAAAAGCATTATTTGAACATTAGAAGAATAAAACATTACACTGCTTTTATAGTATTTATTATTACATTTATATCCTGTATTTGCCCCCTCTTGCAAGGAACCCAAGACAGCTTATGGTTCCCCTCTCCTGCTTCACAACGATATTGTGAAGTTAGGTCAGTGACTCACCCAAAAACACCCTATACACTTCACAGCAAAGAACAAAATAGAATCCAGAAATCCCCTAGAGATCCACCCATAGAATATTCTGTGGCACAGTTAAGCCATTTCTGCACTTACATGAAGGATGCCATCAATGTCAATGTTCCATCTGGTCATAATCAACCTCAAGCAGCATAGGATCTGCCTTGGAAGATTTCTATGTGAGCCGATAGAAGCTGTCTTCCCCACACTCTTCCCCTCCAATCCATGAAATTGCTATATAGGAGCTTGGCCCCCCACTGCTGAATGAGGTTGCCTGTGGCGCAGTGGAAAGGGATTGTCCAAATTGGGC